AGGGGCAACAGCAACGATGACACCATCTTGCCAGCATAGAGAGTGACTAAACTACGAAGACGATCGTTATCACAAGCTATCAGGGTCGGACTGGGCCGGAAGGGCCCGGGTGGCTGATAGCAATCCCGAGGCCCGAGACTAGATCATGGTGATGGGATACTATCGAAAAATACTGAGATACACAAATTGAGATAAACAAACTGTAAAAAAAATATTACAATACTAAAATAAAGTAAAATAATAAGAAGGTATTTACTAATCTATACTTATAATAAATCTGTAGAGAGGTCAATTCTTACATGAAATATATTTTCAAAATAACTATCAGGGGGTGATTAGTGATCGTACTGATGCCAAAAATGCAATCAGTAAAATTTTTGTCTGTCTGTCTGTCTGTCTGTCTGTCTGTCTGTCTGTCTGTATGTTCCTTATAGAAACAAAAACTACTCGACGGATTTTAACGAAACTTGGTACAATTATTCTTCATACTCCTGGGCAGGTTATAGGATACTTAAGAATTCCCACGGGAACGGGCATTAGCGGGAAAATCCTTTGGTATGAAACATCTAAACCGCTTAAGTTAGACGCTTGAAATTTGGCAAGCAGGTACCTTAGTAAACTTAAAGCTTAGTTATAACAGGATATTGCAAAATTCCTACGGGAACGGGAATTAGTGAGAAAAAACATTTGTATGAAAAAATCTATGCCACGTAAGATAGACGCTTGAAATTTGGCATGCAGGTACCTTAGTAAATTTAAAGCTTAGTTACAACAGAATTTTGCAAAATTCTCACGGGAACGGGAGTTAGCGGGAAAAAACATTTGTATGAAAAAATCTAAACCGCGTAAGTTAGACGCTTAAAATTTGGCATGCAGGTCCCTTAGTAAACTTAAAGCTTAGTTACAACAGGATATTGCGAAATTCCAACGGGAACGGGAGTTAGCGGGAAAAAACATTTGTATGAAAAAATCTAAACCGCGTAAGATAGATGAAGGGGGGTAAAACGGGATCCACGCGTACGAAGTCGCGGGCGGCCGCTAGTAACAAATAATAATATAAAGCTAGCCAATCAACATTTTTTTTTAAAACAGGAGAACTTTCAGCTAAGCTGTTAATGACTCGATCGTAAAAGCTGCTGTTGTGTTCGTAATCCTTGATTAGATCCGATTCTGTATTTTATACAGTGTGAGTTACGATAAAGTGCACATATGAAATTAGGTGAAACTAGATCTATTTTTATCGACAAAAAACAGGTAAAATTTGTTTTGAGATTTTTTTAAAATATTTTAAGGATTTTTTTTCTTCCAATTACTTATTATAAAGAAAACGTAATAACTTTTAAACTAAGAGGTATATCCTGTAAAAATAGTAATAATGCTAAATAACAGACGATACTAAAAAAATACATAAAATACTCAGAAAATGCTAACTAATAATAAAANCACTATTGCTATTGCTAGCAAGAGATGTTGTTGTTTGTAATAATTTCGTAATGATAGCTATTAATTATTATTAGACATTTTATTTGCAGAAACATTATGAGAATGATGCATTTTATCATGTCAATGTCAAAGACATGTCTGTACTTCTAGACTGGGCTGAGGTGATCTGAGATGTTAGTCACTAAGGCTGAGTTGCACCACCTAATTTTAAAGGTAACTATAACGATAACCGGTGCTTTTTGTATAGAGTTTGAAAGATTTTAAGGTAAAGTAAGATGGTGCAACCTAACTTACCCAACCTAAGTTGTTCATAAGTACTTATGAATAACATTTTAATCAATCATGAGTCAACAAAAGTACCTATGTAACAGATATGAAAAGACAGAAATGTTGTACATGTAGTAGATAAATCCACACTCGTATCATTGAATGAGACAGATAAAGGTTGTCCTTATTCAAGTGCGTGACTTTAAGATATTTTAAGAAGGGCGTACACACGTACTTACAGTAAGACAATACTGACTTATACTTGCAAAAATCTTAGGCACTAATTGACAAGGCGAAGTAACACAATACTTGATTCTGAATAGCGAAAATTTTAGTAACTGAAAACGCTAGAAAACTGACGCAACTCCTACGCGTATAGGCTGATTTACACGTTAAGTAGATAAGTAGGTAACTTAGTTATTAACTTAATTTTAAGTGATTAATTGCGTGTAAACACACAATTTAGTAGCAAGTGGCAAGTTAAAATTTAGTTGTCAACTAAATTTTAAGTCGCAAGTTACTGTTTAGACGCAACTAACCGCCTCTGTGGTCTAGTGGTAAGACCACCTGCTTCAGACGCAGAGGTCCCGGGTTCGATTCCCAGTGGGAACAGATTTTTCTGTTCGGTTTGGCTGGTGGTAGGGCTTGTTTGCCTGGCTAGCTACCACCATCTTACCTAAGTCCGTCGCTATAACAACAATGTTAACAGCATTGTTGTGTTCCGGCATGCAGTTAGAGGTAAGATAGCCATTTCCTCCGTGGTTGAGGCTTCCGGGTGAAACTCGCTTCCGCCTTCGGCCTGATCATCACTTACCATCATGTGAGATACAGGCCAAGAGCTCCCCTCGTTGTGGATAAAAAAGAACTTAAAATTAAGTTAAGAATTTAGTTACCTACTTATCTACTTAACACGTGTAAATCAGCCTTAAGAGCTCGTTCCCACAGCAGTCGAGTTTTGTGGGAACGAGTAATGCAGGATCCCAGGATGTGAGGTCTCCCAGTGCTCGTGGATGCACAGGGTGAACCAATCACAGAGCTCAATTCAACGCTGTGCGTTCGATTTTCTGATTCACTTAAGTAAGCATCGTTTGTGAATACGGGCGTTAATTTCTATGCAAGCTTTCCGCATTTATATTTTTGCTGTTGTAATTAATTAATTTAGTTTAAAGCTGTGCGATTGACTTGAAGTGCTATGCGATGATTTATGTTTAATTTGTCTTCATAACTATTTTCAGGTGTTGATAAAATTATTAGTTTTACCTAAGTAATTATATGAATAAATCATAGTATATGGATGTGTAAAATTGCCTTTACATAAATAAATACTTATGTACTTTTAAATAAGTATACATTTACTTATTGCTTTTTTACAATCGTCATACCTACCTAATTCTATGTATTTATATTTTTGTGTCAAAATATTGTGTTTTCTAGAAAATCACACCATCTGAATTTGAAGCGTAGGTTATGTTCTGGCTTACAGCGGAAAGTATTTAAATAGAAAAGCTCATAAATGACACAATTTTTCCAAATCACCTACTCTTGCTTTGTTTATCGTCTTACATAGGATTTTGTTTCTTTGCCAATTATTTAGTGCGTAGTTTATTTAGTTTAAAAACGCCACTTACCGTATCCGCTCACAGAGCTCAACACTTTCACAGTCCACAAATGAGCACAGCCATAGAATTATCCATCCATTTATCGATACTTACTAAAATTATGAATACGGAAGTAGTTAACTCTATTAAAATTAGAAACTCAGGGGACACGCGTGCGTTAAACTTTTCTGTAATAGAACGAAATTCACGCACCAAAGCCACAGTCGTAGATAGTCAATACATACTGTAGTTTTAACGGTCAAACTAGCTGCTGTGCACTTACCATGTGTTTACGTTAGGTGTGTTCGCTAGCGACTGCGTAAAAAATGACATTAAATGTATGACATATTGTGCAACGTCAATAACGGCTACTTTCAAGAAAAAAAATTCATAGATTTTTTGACATACTCGCGCTAGCGAGCACACCTAACGTAAACTCCTGGTAAGGTTACACTGGAACTGGTTAAACTGGAATTACAGAGTACCTCTAGCTCAGTCAATAAAGGCATATTTACGCCAGTCTCTTACCCTGCTCTCATTGAGACCGTAGCCTTACGCGACCGTATGGCAATGCAAAATTATAACGTAGAGAATAACGCAAAAAGCATTTCGGAGTCAGAACTGTTACGTGTTGCTAAGCTCTGGCGGGTCCAAGCTTAAGTGAGACTGCATTAACCCTTAACCACCTACCAGGAGTCTCTCAGACTCCGGCGATTTTTTTTTTTGTCGTAACTAGTCGCATGCGCTGTAAGAGATTTAGGCTTTTTTAACAAATGTCTTATATTGTTTACGTGACGCCCATATAATGTTTTTTTTAAATAAAACACTGAAAAAAATATATTTTTTAACTTATTTTACCTTTGGGCAACTTAGTTTTATGTTCAGAGTCCTCAGAAGAAAGGAGTCTGAGAGACTCCAGATAGGTGGTTATGTGATTGAAACAAGAGGTAGGTGTTAAGGGTTAATGCTTCAGCTTGTGAGATACTACAAGTCTAGTTAACCTTAAGATTGCTGACTGTCAATTTGAGTCGTGCTTTTACGAGTGGAGTATTCTAGAGCTAAAATTAGAAAAATAAAAATAGGTACTTTTATTACATACTGTGACTCTTAATTACGGATTAAATAGGTATGATAAGAATTTCAAGTTTAACGAATAACGCAAGGTTTGCAGATACATTCAGGTAGTTGAGTTTGCTGCATAATTAAAATAGCCCATTAAGTTTATTATCATTTCTCTGGTTAAACCTGAAAAAGATTTCTTACACATCAAATCGGATTACTTTTAACACCTGTTGTTCAGTACTTACTTGTTGGCATATTCAAAACGTATTTCCAAAACAACAAAGTTTTTTAACATTGGTGCAGAAACACGACCCAGTCGAGCACTCTCCCCTTTGGATACTTGGCAAAGTTGTTTAGAACAGAAGCTTATAGTTTACCGGTTACAAAGTACTTGAGATCTTAAAAGGAAAACAATTTAATCGTCCAATACCTTATCTGCTACTTAAAGTTATCGAGCAGAGTCTTTATTTTGTAAACATGTTCGCTAAGTTGTAAGCATAAAAGCAGGTATTAAAAATAAAAAAAACAAATAGTGTTATTTCATAGGTCTTAATAAGGATCATCAAAAAAACTGGTGAACTTTACATTTAAACGCTTTCTAGAATTTAGGTTACTATTCTAAGTATATATATGTATATTGAAAGATACGATCTTCATACAGCTTCCAAGCGAGCACTGGCAAGCAATTGCGAATGAATATTAGTATCATTGTGTTTTCGAAAATGTATTTTAACTTTTACTGCTTCAAGCGCAAACATCAAGCTTGCTTATTTCGTGAAACGTTTGCTTATTAGCTTTTAAATATCAGTATTGTTCTTTAATAATTGGATTCCCCTTGAAAAATGACTAAGCTAGACATCATGGGTGACTTAATTGGAAAACCTACTTAATTTGTCTGGGTGTAATGATACTGAAAATCTATATATATAAAAGAAAGTCGTGTTAGTTACTTCGCTTATAACTCAAGAACGGCTGAACCGATTTAGCTGAAAATTGTCAGGGAGGTAGTTTAGAGCCAGGAGAAGGACATAGGATACTTTTTATCCCGTTCGAAATAAAAAAAAAGTCTGCTTATTTATTGCTATTAAGGCGGAACAAAGTTCGCCGGGTCAGCTAGTTTGATATAACTTCAAAGTTTTGCGATGAACTACGAGTATGTACTTCAAGTATCGATTGATAATATGCATGGGGATGATATTATAACAAATATTTGGTATATTTACAGATACATACTCAAACTAAAATAAGTTTCAAAACATTCAATGTCTTCTTTTCAATAGAAAAGTATTATCATGAAAGTCTGATCCATACTGGATGAAATTTTTTGAGAATCCTGGATTCTTTGCTCCGTTCTTTAAAGGTAAAGAACTCTACCTTTTCTCTTTCTTCCAATATTCTAGGGTGAACATTACATTTTAATTATTCTCTCTTAAGACTTTAGAAAAATGGAATATCTTCACTGAAAATTAAATTTTAATCTTTAATGAGGCCAGGAAAATGTTAAACTGCTTGTACTTCTGCAATTAATTACGTTATTACTGATTCATACTTAGATAGTATACTCGTAATTGGTAAAGGGTATAAAAAACGTAACGCAAAAGTGTGGTAGCCGGTAAATAGCAAAAACTATTAGTTATCATCGATCGACGACAAGGCGATTTATTAATTTTAGTTCGCAAACTCATTTAAGCTCTCTTATTTGTTCCAGTTTGAACAAGACGGCTACGTAGTGCTAGAAGACTTCCTAAGGCCAGCGGAATGCGACGAGATCAAAGCTGCAGGCATAGAGCTCGCCAAAAATGTACCTGAGACGGAGCAAAAGACTGTTTTCGCTACCACCAATGAACAAGACATACAGGTAAAACTTACTGATATTATTACTCGAATCAGAAATGGGGAGATCCGCAGGAGAACCAAAGTGATCGACATAATAGCTCGCAGAATTGCTAAAATCAAGTGGCAGTGGGCGGAGCACATATCTCGTAGAGACGATGGCCGTTGGTGCAGAAAAGTTCTCGAGTGGCGACCACGGGCTGGAAGACGTAGTGTGGGCAGTCCTCCCACTAGATGGACCACGATCTGGTGTAGGTCGCGGGAAATCCTTTAGGCCTTTGTCATTTGGCTGAAACGAACGAACGATATTGCTCAAACTCGTAAGGCCCACAGCCCCAGCTAATTTTCCCCGGGACAAACTTAACCTTCACTGGTTGGGTTTTCATTGGCGGTCAAACTGGCTACACAGGAGTTGCAGCGGTGAAAACAAGAGGTGGGGATACTCCCGTAAATCCCGTAAAGCCCCAGCTAAGCTTAGTTTAGTTTAGCTTGCATGGCTGGCACAGTTTTCCATAGTTATTGCTAACTGCATAAGTGCAAACCATTTATAGCAAACACTATGGAAAACTGTGTCAGCTATGCGCCGTATGACCACAGAGAACTAACCTCAAGAATATCACACATTTTCAATTTTACAAGCAATTTCATTAACTTTTGAATGTACTCGAATGTTATATACTTGGTAATCGCAATTTAGTCCATCGAAATCCTGTCAAACCCAATCAAATGATAGTTTTTTAGTCAGCCTACGGATTATAAATTCTAATACTCGTATTACGTACCTACTTCCTAGGAAAGTATCTTTCTTAACGCTTTCGGTAACTTCATCTACCCTCGCTGCCTTTTCTTAATTAAGACCTAAGTCCTATCAACGTAAAATGGCTATCATTTTCAGGAAAGAACACTGATTTTCTTGTTACATTTTATGGATGCTTAAGCCTAAGTTCCTTGAAAATATACCTTTTGGTATCAAGGAATTTCTGACTACCCTTAATAAAACTTAGTTATTAGTTTAACTAATTAGTTTCCAATTAACTCTACCCTTTAGATGCAACTTAATAATTTCCTTTTTGAATTTTACAGCGCACCAAAGATGACTACTTCATAAATAGCAACGACAAAATCAGATATTTCTACGAAGAAGGAGCAATCGGAGACGATGGGAAGTTAAAAGTGGACCCTACAGAAGCATTAAATAAGGTACTATTTTATTAAAAATATTTGTAGATTTTCATTAAAAACGCAACATTCGCATGGACATCCATATTAATCATGACCGAACTTTCATTCGGGTGGCAAGTTACTTACTACGGATTCTATAAAGAGAACTAAAATTAAGTATTCCAATGTCAACAAGTTTAAATGTTTGCAGTCGCTTGATAAGTGTTGTGTGCGTTTTGTATCATGAGTAGAGTCTTATTTTAAAAGGATGCCAAAGATTTCTATTTCACCTGTATAATATCGATTGCGTAACCCTAAACAATCCTTATGAGTCACAAATCTGAGATAAACAAGGTTTTCGGAAAATCCGTGCTCAAATAGATACGAGTATATAGAAAAACTTTATTGACAAAGTATATAATACAACAACAACACAACGAGAATAAAAGGTAAAAAAAACAGAACAATGTACAAAGGCACTGCGCCTTGAGGCTTAGCTCCGCATTTATCTTGACATGCTACTGTACAAGTACATATATTATACAGTGTGAGTCACGTTAAAGTGTACATATGAAAATAGATGAAACTAAACCTATTTTTATCGACAAAAAAGAGGTCAAAAATTTTTTGAGATTTTTTTTTATTTTTTTATAGAATTTTTTTTCTTCCAATTACTTGTTGTAAAGAAAACGTAATAACTTTTAAACTAAGCGGTATATCCTGATAAAATAAAAACAGTAAAAATGATACTTTTTGAAAAAAATCCGGTGGTTTTTAATACTTTCTATTATTCTCTATCGTATTATCTAATTGTAAAACCAAAAATTGCATGTCTCTATCCGTATCCCAACATTTGCTATGATCGTTTGAACTAAGCCTCTCCGGGCGCGCCATTCAACGCTTCGTTAACAACGAAACTGAAAATGGCTCTAGATTTGTAATTTTGACAAAAACAAGTTAGATTTCAAATAAAAACAAAAGATTTCGAAGTAAAATAAGCATTTTAGTTAAAATTAAAATAGTCTCTACCTGTTGCGGAGAATAATGTTGTGGCAGGCCATTGTTCAAACGATCATAGCAAATGTTGTGATAGGGATAGAGACATGCGATTTTTGGTTTTATAAAGATAATACGATAGAAAATAATACAAAGTAATAAAAACCACCTGTTATAGGGGCATTTTTTGGAGAAATTTATCAAATAACCAAAAAAACACGAATTTAAAAGCAGATTTTTTTCAAAAAGTATCATTTTTTATTATTTTTTGGCATTTTTTGTATATTTTATGTATTTTTTTAGTATCACCTGTTATTTAGCATTATTACTGTTTTTATTTTATCAGGATATTCCGCTTAGTTTAAAAGTTATTACGTTTTCTTTACAATAAGTAATTGGAAGAAAAAAAATTCTATAAAAAATTAAAAAAAAATCTCAAAAAATTTTTGACCTCTTTTTTGTCGATAAAAATAGGTCTAGTTTCATCTATTTTCATATGTACACTTTAACGTGACTCACACTGTATGTATATGCATGATTATCACCAACAAAAGAATTAGTCATTGATGACTCCGACTGCATTTGTGAACACTGTGAGGCTTGTTTTTATCTTTTTAGTTCATTTTTACGCAGTTGGGTTTTATTCATTAGTACCGTAAAGAGTTGCATCTCAAAATAATTTGAAAATTATAAACAACTTGAAAAAATCGAACTGCCTAAAGCTTGCGAAATGCTGGCCGTAACAGTGTACCTATTACACTTTACAAACGACGGGTTCATCCAGTGTCTACTCGCGTAACTCAGATGGAAGAGAATTCGCCCGGCAAGCGGAAGGTCGTGGGTTTAATCCCCGCCTTAGGCAGTTCGATTTTATCAGTTATTTATAATTTTGAAAGTAAGAAAATAGTATTTATTCTCCTTATTCTATTCCAGGTCGGCCACGCCCTTCACCTCCTACACCCGATCTTCAGGTGCTACACCTACAGTGACCGAGTGAAGGCTGTCTGCCACCAGCTCGGCTTCAAGGAACCGGCGGTGGTGCAGAGCATGTACATCTATAAGAACCCACGGATCGGAGGCGAAGGTAACTTCAATTCTACACTGCGACTATTCCCACCTCTCCTTCCCACCACTGCAACTCCTGTGTAGCCAGGATCTACAGCTTGACCGCCAATAAAAACCCAACCAGTGAAGGCCAAGTTTGTCGCGGGCGAAAGTTAAACTGTCATTGGACCCGCAATGAAATTAATCAGAAGAACATAGGAGGAGTTCGAAGTTCCCAAACTAAGCAGTCTGTACTATGGGTAGAAACATAGCACTTTTTTGTAAATACGTACATTCACATTATAAATAGAAAACACCCAGACCAACACAAACAAATTATGTTCATGCACACGAAATCTTTGTACTGTGCGGGAATCGAACCCGCGACCTCGGCATAGTAGTACTTAGTCCGTTAAGAACCACTACACCAAACGGCTGACAGATTATTCGAATACATCAAGATGTAATTATTTATGTATTGTAGGTACCACAAGTGGTAGGTAACAAATAAACGGAAAGGAAAAAGTAAGCATAAACTTAAAAAAAATTAGTCATAGAAAGAACAAGTCGTCGACATGTTTCTTTTAAAATAAAGCCGCCGACACCACGCCCGCAACATGGTGTGTAGAGTCTTTAACAATAAACGTAAAACATGAACTTAACTAAGCTTAAAACTAAAAGAAGAAAACCAATTATTTATTCCACAATACATCTTAACAAATACAACCTCAAGGTGGCAAACTCGATTCTTTTAAATTTTCCTTTACTTAGGTACATTTTTTATAAATTATAGGCCTACGTACTAAAATAAATAGTATCAGATACATTTTTTTTTTTTTTTTTTTTTTTAAATATCCTTGGACATTTTACACTGCGCCTCTAGTCCCAAACTAAGCAAAGCTTGTACTATGGGTACTAGACGACGGGATAAACATACTTAAATACTTTTTTTTGTAAATACATACATATTATACATAGAGATATGACATTAACATTTAATTAAGTTGTTATCATTGCTACTAATAACGTGTACAAAGGAGAACAAAAAACTGCAGAGTTCACCAACTAAGGCTGGGTTGCACCATCTTATAAAAGCCTGTAAACCTCTGAAAAAGAGGCTGACAATAGTGACTGAGTTTCTTGCGCTGCTTCTTCTCAGCACTGGCCCATTTATTGTCCAGAAGCAGTGGTAGGGTTAATACTGGGACGTGTAAAAGTGCTTTTTTTAAGCCTATTTACAGAAAAAAATAGTTTTTTTTATGAGTTTTATTTTAACTTTAACAAACGTCACAAATCTGTCAAACTCCATACAAAAAGCACTGGTTATCGTTATAGTTACGGTCAAACTTAGGTGGTGCAACTCAGCCTAGTATTTGTAACTTTCGTTAGAAATCTTCTTGTCTATATTGGCCCAAACGATACGACTTTCACTTCCATATACCTAACACATGGCATAAATATCTCAAACCGGTCAAAAATTTACTTACGCGATGTTAGAACGCTACGATATGTAGGTATATCTACTCATCAAACATTGTCCACGAGACTCTGTTCCACCGCATGCTATTTCTGAATAGGTCAGTATTACTGAGACACTTTCATGGTTTCTTAGGCTATGACATTGATGTCAGGGAGCCTTTAAAAAAATTGGCCACTCTTACGTGGACATGTATCTTCGATCCATAGATGATAGATGGACTTGCGATGCACTCGTAGTCTTGATTCGGAAAAAATCAAATGCAATCGCGATTCAAGTGCGGCCACCGCCATCTAGTTCACCCCTCAGTTGAAAGCTTTGCAGATAGAGGAAACTGAACGATCTTGACCATTCATTGTATGCGTATCGCGACTCCGAGGTTAAAGTACGAGTATCAATGAGAGGCTGACCGTATACAATTTTGAACGGTAGGGTTTAACCCTTTTGTTAGGAACCAGTTTCATCTCAGTTCTTTCTTGCGGAGTTATTTTAAAATGATTCTAGTAACTGAAATCAAATTAACTTTATATTCAAGGACCATTTTGTTTAAAATTGGATAATTGTGTTATTAACGTATTTGTTTGGATAAGGAATAATCTCATAAAACTATGAATTAGGTTTAGTTATAATGCGTGGAACAAAATTAAATTACTAAGATTGATGCGAATATTTTACTCAACATTTTAGTAAAGTAGCTTGTGCTTTCATAGTGATCTAATAATGTTTCTTTTACGTAATAATTTTGTAAAAAGTCTTTAAGTAAATAAAATGTATCAAAGGAAAAATACGTCTACTCTCTTAACGCTATAAATAAACGATTTGGAAAATTCCAGACGATCTAAGAAAAATAAGCTGCACTTAAGCAGGCTTATCAGATACGTAGCTAAGGGGATTTACTAGCTTATTTCGGAATAATTCATTTTCAATAATAGGATTAGTTTATAAAAATATTTTATAATCCGATTTACATAAGTCGCTGGAGCAAGTCGCAAGATATTTAGAGAAAAATACGCCCATACTAAGAAAATAGAGAAGCTAAAAATAAGTTAATCCTTTAAGCTTGATCTTCAGACAATATAAAACATTAGGAAGAGGAGAAGATTATACTCGATATTAAAATAGGTACGAGTACATACTGGGGTTTGACAAACCGTATCGGGACACCTGCGCGAAAGATATTTGCGCGAAAACACAAGCGCAATAAACCATTTGCGCGCATGGACACTTGCGCGAAAAGACATATAATATACACCACAAAATACCTCCACAAAATTACAGCTCTATAGTGCCAATAGTTTCCAAGCAAAACCTCGGACGGACAGACAGACAGACATAACGAAACTATAAGGTTTCCTTGCCAGGACTACGGAACCCTAAAAATGAGAAATAATGACCATAAAACTTAAAAAAATTGGGAGCAATTTGTCGATAAAATTTACATTACAACATCGCCTTAAATTATCGCTAACCCTATCCCAAACACACTGTATGTAAAATATCCTTGGACATTCTACACTGCGCCGCTAGCCCCAAACTAAGCAAAGCTTGTACTATGGGTACTAGACAACGGATATAAACATACTTAAATACTTTTTTTTTTTTGTAAATACATACATATTATACATAGAAAACACCCAGTCCAATACAAACAAATATGTTCATGCACACAAATGTTTGTACTGTGCGGGAATCGAACCCGCAACCTCCGGAATAGTAGTCCGATTCGAACCACTACACCAAACGGCCGACGACGATGTATATGGTAGATTTCTATTTCACTAAGCTTAATCAAGTAATATATTTATAACACTGAACTTAATCTAGTAATATAACTATATCACTAAACTTGGGCCGTTTTATAACTATATTCCTAGTGAGATAGTAATGAATCGCTTTCCTATAACTATGTTACGGTATATAATTATATCCCTAGGGATATAACTATATTACGGCTTTATCTATCTAATTGCGACATAAGCACCAGAACCGTGAGCAAACCNGACGACGATGTATATGGTAGATTTCTATTTCACTAAGCTTAATCAAGTAATATATTTATAACACTGAACTTAATCTAGTAATATAACTATATCACTAAACTTGGGCCGTTTTATAACTATATTCCTAGTGAGATAGTAATGAATCGCTTTCCTATAACTATGTTACGGTATATAATTATATCCCTAGGGATATAACTATATTACGGCTTTATCTATCTAATTGCGACATAAGCACCAGAACCGTGAGCAAACCAAGTGCCAGCTTTAGGTTAAGTTCTGTGCCAGCAGAAACCGCGAACTTTTCAATAAGTAACTTTGACACTGAACTGTCTGTGACTTGAGTATTCCTATCTTTACTTTCAATGTGAAGTAATGCTAAGAATAAGGTAATACGAGTAGTTCAATATTTTTTGAGTCTGGAAATATAATGAATGACTTAATAAGAATAAATAGGCGTAGGACGTCCACCCACAAGGTCCAGCGAGCTCATAAAGGTAGCAGGAAGGCGCTGGATGCAGGCCGCCACCAACCGCTCATTGTGGAAATCATTGGGGGAGGCCTGGCCGGGAGCAGTGGACGTTCTATGGCTGAAATGATGATGAATATAATGAAGAATAAATAATGTTGACTGATTCACTAGAAAAGCTTCATTTGTTTGAGATGACGGTACACGAGTATTTTAATTACTATTTCAAATGACACGTGTCAGGTTTCCACGTGTAAGTTCCAGCCATCCGTTTACAAGAAACGTTCATATGAAGCGCGGCACTAGGCGTACGTGACAGGAATTCCTTCTAAATCTGTCAGGAATTAAAATACATTGCATATACACGATATTGGCTCCATTTTATTTAGACCTAGCTTTTCCCGCGGCTTCACCCGCGTTACGGTGTATGATATTCTATATTCTCGTAAACCCTCTCCCCGGATTCTGGGTCTCAGATCAAAATATCATCAAATATCATTCCCATCAAAATAGGTTCAATGGCATAAATGTGAAAAAATAACATACATCCAAACTTAGAGCCATTATAACGCCCGGAAACATAAAGTTTTTAAACTATGGTCACAAAAACAGTACCTAACTATAGTAAAGAAAGCCAACTTCTATTTCCAGGTAGTATAAATCGCTTATTCGTCTAAGTAACAGTTTAAGGTTTAAACTGGCTGGAAGTGAGAGGCCTTAACAGGCCACCTGAGTGTTTTAAAGCCACTTGGATAAAGTATCAAACTTGTTTTTTTTTTTTTGCTAGAATAAGTGGTTTAAGGCTAGGCTGGGTCGGTTCGTAACCCGCTACGACGTGATGTGATGATAATAATCATTTTACTTTATATTCCAGTTGTTCCACACCAAGATGCTACGTACTTATTTACGGAACCCATTCCGCCTCTTGGTTTCTGGATCGCTATCGACGACGCAACGATCCAGAACGGGTGCCTCTGGATGGCGCCAGGGTCCCACAAGTCGGGGGTCCATAGACGCCTCACGCGGAACCCTGACAAGGAACCCGCGTTCATCTACGACCGGCCGGCGGCTGTGTATCCAGAATCCAGCTTCACGCCGGTGCCTGTAAGCAAAGGTAATTATAATAATTATAATTAAAAATAATTGTAACACAGACCAAATATTTACAAATAAAAAATGTCCCAAATCGCTGTCCAAACAACGCGACATGGTGCCCAGAATGCTGGCTGCATTTCTCAAACTGATTCGTTGGCCAAGAAATGCGCCAGATCTCCCAGCACCTACAGTCAATCAGCCGCTTGGCTAATTCCCTGTACAGACGATGAGTACTTGGTCCCCACGGACCTAGCGTCTCGACCCCAAATGGATCAAACATGTAGGTACTACTAAGACCTACATATTTGCGCCGCTTAAGGGATTCCGCTGATGCAGCAGCAGTACCAACCCCAAACGAGGTTTGCGGAAGATGAGACGGTGCCAGTGTGTCCACGCATCCCACACTAGTGGCCGTCCCATCTTCCATGGAACCAAAGTCAAACTATGCAACACTATTCCAATTAACTACTGTTATGATTTATAAATGCGATGAGTCGCATATGAAATCTGATGTAGTGTGAAAATATCATGCTCCAAATAATATTTTCACACGATTTGACAATACTCGTGCCTACATAATACCTCGCGCCACGCTTATTTATCTAACACGTAAGCTTTACATAAATACTCGTAGGTGTACCTATTCAGTTTTCATAAACGTGACCTGTTATGGTGCTAACGTGGCACAGAACCTACAACACAGAGTTATAAAGGATAGATTTAAGCTATCATAATGAAAACTCTAGCT